GTTCAAAGTGAGACTGGACAACTTAGCAAGGCCCTCAGCAACTGTGTCTCAAAATAAAAAATAAAAAGGGGTAGGGATGTAGCTCAGTGGTAAAGTACTCCTGGGTTCAATCCCCAGTAACCCTCACCCCCCACAAAAAAAGGGCAAAGTATTTACGTATAACCTATTACCCTGTATACTTTAAATTATCTCTAGATATCTATAATAACTAACACAATGTGAATACTACATAAATAGTGGTTGAACTATATCATTTAGGGAATAATGACAAGAAAAAAGTCTTTACATGTTCTGTACAGGTGCAATTTAGAGGGGACTGTATTTTTGATCTGTAGTTGGTTGAATCCACAGATGCAAAAACTGCAGATATGGTGGGTCAGTGGTATATATAATATACTGCTGATCTACAGAACACTAAACACACTGGTATTTGTGTTTTGCAAGTAGAATTTACCTTGTGGAGATGTTAATAAGTTTGTCCAAACTCCTTTAACTAGAGACCTATAAGTTGATCCTTAGAAGTCAGACCTAATGTTATAAACAAAACAGGAAAACCAGACCCTAGGAAATCCCCAAGGAAGTTTTAACTCCTAAGCAGATATGATTAATCAATAATGAATAACTGATATAATTCTTAAAATTCCCAGAAAGAGAACATAAATGTTTTTATAACATCCACTTATATCAGTACCACATTTGAGAACACTTTTAAAACATAATACATAATTATTTTTAGTACAAAATTATATTTATTTCCATTCAACTAAGTAGTATTTATTGTGAAGAAGTCACTTACCAAGTATTGTACAATTTTTAAAATACTACAATTCTTTAAAATCTATCTGAACAAAAATCAATTTTATAATCTACATCAAAAGAAATCAAGATTTTAGAAATATAATTTGTCTTTGAGTAAAGTTAGTATTATTTCATCAACTGTTCTATTTATAAGCCTGTTCAGAATTTCTTTAATATTATTAAATCTATCGTGGCCTCATATGAGGGAATTGAACCCGGGGTGTTCTGCCACTGAGATATATCACTAGCCCTTTTTCAAATTTTAAGCAAGGTCTATAAAAAATTGCCGAGGCTGGCCTTAAAGTTGAGATCCTCCTGCCTCAGCCTCTGGAGTTGCTAGGATTAGAGGTGCCCAGCTTGTCCTCTCTTTCAAAATAAGTGTACAGTTACTAGTACTCTTTGAGTCCAAAATCACACAGAATTAAACAGTAGGCAGAATACATGTGTTCCTATTAGGGAGTCACTCATAACCAAAGTCTTAACTGAGTCCCTGACAGGCATGAGTAGTATGCTAGACAAACTTTTATTCAGATTACTGAATTTATATTCAATTCTAAGAGCATGATCTTTCATGATAGCTGGGGTAACAGAAGCAAAATAAGTCACAGAGAAACCTTACAAGCATCACAGGTTATCCTATATCTTACAAAGTGAAGAAAACAAATCTATAACCATTAAACGGAACCTCATTCCCTGTTCTAGAGCATAGATGGCCTCAAGAAAAGACATATACCACCTAGAAACCATCTAAAAGTTGTGTGGGAATCTGGAATTTTAGCTTAACTGGGAAGAGTAAGGTTCCCATGCCTTCTGAATCATGCTTCCAGTAACCAATGAGACTAAGCTGGAGTTTATTAAGAAGTAGAAATATTAAAACTTGGAATCACCTATTTTAAAAGATTTACATACAAATAGTATGCAATTAGCATACTCTATTAGTAATATTAGTATACAAATGTCAACAGGTACTGATAAGTATTTAACAGAACATTGCCCTTTACCCAAAAAACCATGTACAAATTGTTGGTAAACATGAATTGTCATATTATCTGAGCATAAAAGCAGTAACAAGAAATAGAACCATAGCCATAAAAATGAGATAGAATACAACAGCAGGAACCCTGTAAATGCAATTTTACAACTTTATACTCCCTATAATTTCTGGTTTCCAACTAGTAAAACATCTGTATTTGCTACCCCTGAATATCCATTTAAGAAATCTTTTGTGATGACCCAGAGCCAGATGAATTATCTTCTCTCAGGTTACTTCTGGCCTCATAATTTTCTTAAAAGTTTTCCAAATAATATGTGTGTGTGTGCACGTATGTGTGTGTGTGTGTGTGTGTGTGTGTATATATATATATATATATATATATATATATATATATATATATATATATACACACACACACACACACACATATAAATTTAACACAGATATGATAATTATAACATGCATTTAGGTTCATGTACATAAAATTTCACAATATAGTACATTGTAAATCTCTAATTAGAATGGAAGTGAAAGTAGGGAAAATAAAAATTTAGGGAAGAATCATACCACATTAATTTGGGCTATAATAAGAGTAGTATTTCAAGTGGGATGCAGTGGCGCATGTCTGAAATCCCAGTGACTTGTGAGGTTGAGGCAGGAGGATCATCAGTTTGAGGTCAGCCTCAACAACTTAGTTGAGACTCTGGCTGGGGGGTAGGGGCTTGGGATACCTCAGTAGAGTGCTTGCCTTGCATGTACAAGGCACTGGGTTTCAATCCCCAGCATTACAAAAAAGAAAAAGAAAAAATGAGTAGTATTTTATCTGGGCATAATGACAATGTCTGGATATATTCAAATTGTTTGAAACTCAATCTTATATATCACACAACATCAGAACACAGGTTTTTCTATGCCAAATGCTAACCCAGGGGACCCCAAGAAGATTATTGCTAACTTGGAGGCAGGATGTCGTCACACGCTGAGTCACATTACAAGTCGAATCTTGAGTCACACTGAGTCATAGTATGTACAGGATCTTTTCGATTTGCAAAGGGCAATTTTTTTTTTTTTAATAATCCATGGCAAAACAACAACAACAACAACAAAAACCCACTCTAATTATCAAGCTGGAAGAAGTGGAATCTGAAAATTTAGTGACACATAGCAAAATGAAAAATATATAAAACTTTGACCAAGTCTTCCCCTTATATAAATTTGTCTTGCAGATAAATTTGAAAATGTGTAAAATGACACTTTAATAAAATAATTTACTGCAGCACCATTTATAAGAGCAAAAATTTTTTAAACAACCTAAACCATGTGGGGACTAGTTAAATAAACTGATATTTCCATACAATAAAATATCATACATAGCCAGGCATGGTGGCGCACACCTGTAATCCCAGCAACTCGGGAGGCTGATGGAGGAGTATCAAGAGTCCAAAGCCAGCCTCAGCAAAAGCAAGGAGCTAAACAACTCAGTGACTCCGTCATTAAATTAAAAAAAAAAAAAAAATAGGGCTGGGGATGTGGCTCAATGCCCCGAGTTCAACCCCCAGTACCAATAAATAAATAAATAAATAAATAATTTTAAAAGCCTTAAATAAAAAGAGCATATGCTCTTTGTTCTGAGAAGTAGAAAAAAAGTCTCTAAGATATAGAAAATGCAAAAACGTAAAGAGTACAAGGATGTATAGTATTCTGAAAACATGTATAACAAGTGGGTGGCATGGACTAGAGGGTGTGCATATTTGTGTATGTAATTGTATATGTATGCATATATATGTGCATATACATATATATATGTATACATATGTATATGGAGGAAGAGACATGCACATATAACATCTCTAAAAGGACCCACCCAACACGTTATCTGCCTAGGAAGTGGGATTAAATGAGTGGGAAATACAATAAAGAAAATTTGTCACTTTATAGTTATTAAAAAATTTTAAACCATGTAAATGCACTGCTTGATTAAACACATTAAACAATGTATAATTTGTATACAAAACACAGCATTTTAGGACTTATACATAGCAATACAGTATAATCTCACAAAGTTATACTATAATTAAAAAATTACAAATTAGAGTTAACAACTTTTACTATCCTTTTTATTAAAATACCCACCAGTTCATCTCCAAATTTATTATTATATAGTCACAGAATACAGACCCAGAAGGGTCTCTGAAAAAATCTTGAAAATTGATTTATTAAAAAATGTGACCCTAAGAGGCTAAATAACCTCACCTAAAGGACACAATCAGCAGGTAGCAAAGTAAGCCTAGAAACTGACAACAATTCTAATCTTTTCTTGTATATTTCTATCACCCACAAATGGTTTCTTAATTACCACAAGGAGCCACCAAAAAGTCAACCATGTTGCATTTTGAGGATAATATAAATGGCAGGTCCAGTGTGAGCTGATATCCTATCTCTATAAAATACTTCTCAGTGTTCATGGAAGAATCAAAAGGGATCTGATTTTCTCATCTGGGTTATTTTTTTAGCAAAGTGCCAAAGAGTAGTTAAAGCCATAGTTAAAGATGGGGGGTTGGGGAGTTTCCTACAAATTATACTAGAAAATCTGAGGCAATAAAAATCATTTTTATATAAAATAAGAACTAATATAATATGGCATAGAATATAGAATGTACATGAATATTTAAGATAAACAGACACTTTCAAAGAAATTTTGTGTTGCTTCTGATTGAGAATGATCCAAATGACCTAGAAGTATAGCTCACACACTAACTCTCTTAAACTTTTAAAAGAAAGGTTCAAAAACTACTACACCAAGGGAATTAAAACAGAATGCTTCCCCATAATGGAAAAGGCACAAGGTTAGAGCTAGATAGTATGGATGTGCTGCTACCTGTTCTTGTCACTGTGAAACACAGATCAACTGGGCTCAGAGCCTATTTCTTCATCTGTAAAATATGGACAATATTACTTATCTTGTGGTATTGTTATAAAAACTGGAGATAATATATGTTAAGCCAGCTTTCTGGACTCTAGACTATAACAAATGGTGTCTACTACTACAACCATCACAAATGTAATCAAACTCTTACCATTCATTTGGGTTCAATTTGTGAGAACAAGACAAGGCAGGCAATGGATATTTATAAACCCTCCCAACCAGCCATGAAAAGAAAATAGAACAGTAGGATAAAACCACCTATCCAAACAGTATTATACTCACATATTTCATTTCAAACTTCTTAGCCAACATTTCTACCTCTTGCTTCTCCCGATGCTCATCATTAAATGGGTCTTCTGTATGAACAATCTTCTTCTGATTCAAAGTGAATAGGAAAAAGAAAAGAAAGTATTAGTATTACCTCAACTATTATTATTATTGATATACATTAACTACTTCAATTATCTTTCAATATAATTGAATATGCAATTATATTCAATAACATTTAATGTGTATTCAATAATTATACATTGTATAATTACTTTAATTATTATCATTCACAGTTGAATGTATTCTGAAATTTAATCAATAATGAGAATCACTTTTTCCTACTGCAAACAAGCAAATTAGTAGGATTAAAAGTAACTAAAAAAGAATTGCTGATTCATAACAAGAAAATATTTGCAGTTTTGGTAGACTTATATACTTCTAGCTTTTTGGTGTCCAAGAATGTAACAATCCAAACTGACTCTACTTGAAAAATGGTCATGTGATCACCTCATCCAAAATAATAAGGTGAAAATTCCCCAAAACATTAGGTAAAAATGAAAACATACATAACTCCAGCTTGACATCTTCCCTAATAAAGCTTAACTGCTTTGGTCAGGAAATGTCTCTAAAAGAATGTCTAGAAATTAATTAAACATTTAATCATCTATGAGTTATTACTCCAGTATCTTCAGCCTCCCCAGCTTTCTGATGAGACCCAGAATCAACAATTTCTATATCCTCTCTATCTCTTGTCAATGGATATATGTTCAGGGAGTATATATTATTTTTAAACAAAGGTAGAAAAGACAAGTAACTGCGAAAAGTTTATATTACCATGGCTTTCTTTTAGCAGGGGACAGTGAAATTTTATTGTAAAATACGCAGTTCAAAACGCACATGCACCGGGCATCGTGGCACACGCCTGTAATCCCAGCGGCTCAGGAAGCTGAGGCAGGAGGATCGCGAGTTCAAAGCCAGCCTCAGCAACGATGAAGCGCTAAGCAACTCAGTGAGACCCTGTCTCTAAATAAAATACAAAATAGGGCTGGGGATGTGGCTCAGTGGTCATGTGCCCCTGAGTTCAATCCCCAGTACCAAAAAAAAAACAAAAAACCCCACAACACACATGCACACACACACAGGCAGAGAGAGCGCATGCTTGCACCCAACAGCTAGGATCCTATATTTACCATCTGTTGCCAAAACAAACAAATCACAACCTTTACTCAGGTTCACTACTTCAGCAGACACAATTTTATATATGGTTTTCAATTTACACACACAAAAAAGTCAAAATACAGAGCTACTTTTTAAAAATATTATTTTTATCTAATTTCAGACAATTGATTTGAAAGTAAATGTTTAAAAAGAAAGACTAGATGTTTTGCTTAAGTGGTATCTTTGATTACTTAAAAATGAAAGTATGGGCCAGGCACAGTGGCGCACACCTGTAATCCCAGTGACTCAAGAGGCTGAGGCAGGAGGATCACAAATTCAAAGCCAGCCTCAGCAACTTCCCCAAGACCCTGTCTCAAAATAAAAAATAAAAAAAGGGCTGGGGATGTGGCTCAGGGTTGTGCGCCCCTGGGTTCAATCCCTGGTACCCCCCCCCCCGAAAAAGTATATTACAACTCGAATACTGTATAGATTTGAGTGACCATGAAGGACAGGGGAAAAAAATGCAGAAGAGGCAAAGATTTCCATACTTTGGAACCAAGACGCTTCATCCTAGACATAAAGGCTGAGATATGATCAGTCTAAAACATCTGATAGGAAACCATGGGCAGAATGAAGACAAAACAATTCATCACACTTAGGTCATTAGAATAAAAGGATACTTCTTAAGGCTTAAAAAGTTTACTTTAGAATAAATTTTTATAACTGTAATAAGTAATAAATTTGTAGAATGCCTTATCCCAGTTGGAGTTATCAATGAAAAATATAAACATTACCCAAAAGAAAATAAACTAGCAAGAATACACTGGTAAAGGGGCTGGGGATGTGGCTCAAGCGGTAGCACGCTCGCCAGGCATGCATGCAGCCCGGGTTCAATTCTCAGCACCACATACAAACAAAGATGTTGTGTCTGCCAAAAACTAAATAAATAAATAAAATATTAAAAAAAAAAAAAAGAATACACTGGTAAGGAAATAAGAAATACTAGAGATGTTCAGGTATAGCCTTAAGGTTAAAATTAAGGGTCAGTGAGAAATAACCATGCTCTGCTATTATTATTTTAAACTGCCCCTTCAAGTCACTGTGAAGTCCAAATAGTACGTCTTTCTACCAGTCTTATCCATTTCATATGTGTAGATATCCACACAGGGAGCTATATTTTTATTAAGAATCATCTTTAGGGGCTAGTGATATAGATCAGTTGATAGAGTGCTTGCCTCTCATATATAAAGCCCTGGGTTCAATCCCCAGCACACACACCAAAAAAACTTTATGTGTTATTCTAAAATATTTTATGTACTCTATACAGCTTTCAAAGAATATTTTTATTTACTCCTGATGGTCCATAAAAATAAATTTAAGAAAATGATTCATTTTTCCTTTTTTTAAAATATTTTTTAGTTGTCAATGGACCTTTATTTTATGTATTGATAGGCAGTGCAGAGAATCAAACCCAGTGCCTCACACATGCTAGGCAAGCGCTCTGCCACTGAGCCACAACCCCAGCCCAGATTTATTTTTCTTTTATAGTTAAAAATACCTCTCCTCCTTCAATCAAACTGAAGTATGATTCTTTTATTTTTTTTTTTAGGTGAAAAAATAATCCAAAAATTACCAGCTACCCTAACTATCCATGTGCAAAATTTTGCCCTTTGCTCTTATTAACATCATTTCCTGATCTTTCATCCAACTTTATCCAAAATATGCAATGGAACAAACAACAGAATGCCAGAGAATTCTTTTTTAATATTTGTTTTTTACTTGTAGATGGGCACAACACCTTTATTTATTTATTTTTATGTGGTATTGAAAATGGAATCCAGTGCCTCATGAGTGCTAGACGAGCACTCTACCACTGAGCCACAAGCCCAGTCCCAGAGAATTCTTTAGTACAGTTACATTCATACTACAGTTACTTATTTTTCTCTTTATAGTAATCATCCAATTATTCATGTTCACAAAATTTTCTGTGTTCTGATTTACAACAAGTTTTTTTCCTTGTACATCAATCGCTGCCAAAACTAAAACACACTATCATTCTTCAGACAGAAATGGTGAACAAATCTATCAGGATAGAGATGTCTATACTGCCTTGGTGTCATCCTGAACCACCTCAGCCACAGCACATTCTGCACAGAAGCATCAAGGAAAGCTTTAGTCAACTACATCCAGATGACCTGAGAGGTGGCTTTGCTCTCTCTGTTTTGCCAGCATATTCTATTTAATTGTGCTTTTCCTCATTTATAAAAACTGGTCATAGAAAAAGTTTCAGTTGACTTGTGTTTAACTTTTCATTTAGCATTTATAAAAGGGCTGATTCATTTTTTCCTTTTTTTTTTATGGGTGCATTACATTTATACATAATGGAAGGGGACTGATTTTAAATGCACCCCCATATAGATGGTATTCACAAGTACCACTTTTCCCCTCCAATTCCACATGTATCAACTTTGGGATCTAGAGCTGCAATCTTATTCAGTGATAGATGGCTGTATAAAAAATTTAGAGCGTTTTCCTTCTAATTTTATAAGATCTCTTTCTTCCCTTTTTTCTTCTGATATTTACAGAACATTATGTTCAATTACAATAACCCAAAATTAAAACTACTTTGAAAATATTATATCATCTCTCAAAATATGTGGACTATTCCCAGGAAAGGAGAGGAATATTTGGGAATCAATACTTTCCAGGCTAAGCTACTCATGTTGCTTTCAGATGGCCTCTCTTTAGGATTTCCTGTCATGGAACTATGATGATTTTACTTAAACAAGTGCTTTCTACTATTTCTTATGTATTAACTGGGAGAAATCACAAGAAAATCTGGTAAATTTTTGTTGCAGAAGTATTTTGTATCTATAGTGAAGCAAAAAAAAAAAAAACAAAAAAAAAACTTGTGGGATGATAAAAGGCATACGGCTGAATGTACAATGATAAAATTGGACCAATTAACACCTAAATAAACATTATGTATGCAGTAAACATAAACATCAAATTATTCATCTTTCTCCTAGAACATGAAGGTATAGTCACACTCTACAGGACAATGTCTTAAGGACACAGCAGGCACACAATAGGAGGCAAAGTAGTAGACTATACCACCTAGGTTTGTTAAGTACATTCCATGATGCTTGCACAATGAGGGAACTGCAAATGTCCTATCCTTAAACACCACATGACTGTTAATAGTTGTGATATCAAAATGTTAACAAAAGCTAGGGTGTCAAAATAAGCTTTCTTCCTGAACTTGTTTCTTTTTGAAAATTATAAATACATATTGATTTATCATGGCATGAACATTACAGCATAAAGGAGGTTATTAAAAAGGTCTTTATATTTGTACTATGACTTTAACTTGATTTTGACATCATGCTCTAAATTTTAACCAGTATTTGTTAACAGACATTTTGCTTTACTATGCATCCCTATTACAATGGAAAAAATACTAATAAAATTAAATATAATCACTCTATGTGTTAGCCTCATTTTTAAAGTAGGGACAATGATTCTTTCCTAATGATCTGTTACACTAAACCAGATAAAACAATGTATTCTGCTTGCAACTCTGTCTATCACATAGTAAGAATTCACTATACATTAGCTGGTATTATGTATTTTTATCCAAAGATAATGCTTTTTATCTGTAATTTATGAAAATTACAAAAATTGCAAGCCTACTTAGATTAGCAGGTCTAATACAATTTACTCAAAAAATACTCCATACACTTTCAATTTTCTTTGGGAAAAAAATTACATCACATTTATCAAGATGAGGGCACTAAGGGAGGACAAAATGTTATGTGACAGTGACCAAAATAGTCCCTACCCTTAACAAAATTAATTTTCCTTAAAATCATTTAATAATTATTTGACCACACAACACTATTTGTAACTTATGATCAAAAGATTACCTGGCTACAATATAAACAAAATCTGGCAACAGTGTTTAATGATACTTTTTGACTAAAGAGCCATTCATTTCAACTACAGATAGTTGAGGAAAACAAAACCAAGTGACTTCTGGAGTCCATTAGAGACCCATGCTAAAGCAAAAGGCCATAATCTCTAAAAACAGAAGACAATGTTCTCTCTCTCCTCTCTCTTTCTCCCTCTCTGTTACTCTATCATCTCCCTTTCTGACTCACTTGCAAAGATGAACCCACAACAATAAAAATTACAATTACCAACAAACCGCTGTTCCAATCCCATTGTTCACCAGTTCCATCAAAGGTATACCTATGTCTTTTCAATAAAGTTTTTAAAATTTCAAAGTCAAGATTTTTTTCCATCATACTTCACAAATTACAATGGCCAAGTATAATATCCTACAACTCAGAGTTATAAATTAATGGTACTCAAATGAGAATATGATGAGTGGCACCCAATAAAGCAGGAGAGACACCCACCCATTCAATGACAGTATGAACAAACTCCATCAAAACTAAAATTTTTAAAAAGATGCTAAAACGTTTGCCAATACGAGAGGGGGAAAAAATAAGTAATCAGAAAACTAACCAATTTCTCCATTCCTAAAGTGGAATCCCTATTCTCTGAAAATGTTAATTACTCTTAAATCCCCTTCAATTAAGAAAAAACCACCCGCACGCAAACCTAGCTCGGCAGCACAGGCGCCTTGCACCACGGTAATGAAGATGAGGATGAAACGAGGGGTTACACAATCTCTCGGCTTCAGGCTGGGGGGCGTGTCCCCCAAGGTTTTCTCTTCCTATCTATTGGAAAGACAGCGGCAGCGCCACAAGAACCCAGCCACACGGCTAGCAGGGCCCCAAGATTTTGTGTAGGGAGCAGAAAGGAAAAGAGAAAAATCCGAGGTTTCGAAAGGTGCTGAGAAAAACAGGCGCGGTGCGGTGTCGCGAGGAGAGCCTCGGCCACCCCGGGGAGCTGAGCTGCACCGCGCTCCCGCCCGGTCCACCCGCTCGGCCGGGACCCTCCACCCCACCCTCGGGGTGACCAGGACGCGCCGGGGGCTGTCCCGGGGTGCAAACCAGCCGCGGGAGGCGGCGGGTCCTGAGGCTGCCCGGGTCTGGGGCGGGAGGGAGGAATCCTCTGTACCCGTTGTTCTCCGCACAGCAGCAGCTCCGGGTAACTGAACTCCACGCAGCTTTCGTCGGTGGGGTCCTTGAGCACCAGCTCCAGGCGCACCGTCTCCCGCGGAGGCGGCGGCTGCTCGGTGCGAGAAGCCGACTCCCGCGGCGGGGGCGGCTGCAAGGGCAGCTGAGGGATCGGCGGCGGCGGCGGCGGCGGCTCGGGCCGCGGGGGCTCGCGCTGCAGCGACATGGGCGGCTCGGCGCGGCTGACCTCGCGCTGGGGGAACGGCTTCTCCCGCGGCGGGGGCTGCGCGTCCGAGCGGGGGGCCGGCTCCCGCGGGGCCGGTGGCTCCGCCCGAGCCGGCTCGCGGTACGGCTGCGGCTCCAGCCGGGGGGGTTCGCGGGGGCACTCGGGCTCGCGCTCGGCCCCCGGGTATTCGGCCTCGCGCCGCCTCACCGGTGACAGGCTAATGAACGCCACTCTGCGCGGCTCCGCCATCCCCACTGTTCTGGCCCTTCGCTTTCGCTCGAGCCGGCGCTCGCTTCTACGCCGCGCTGCGTGCCTGTCCGCTCTTCCTCTTGTTCTCCGTCGCTTTTCTTCCCTCCACCACCTTCAGCCGTCTCCGTCGACGCCACCGTGAGCGTGGACAGTGCCCTCTTCCCCGCTACTATGTTCTGATGGGCTCTACCGCCATCGCCAGGGTCGCCGCAGCCGCCATGTTGGATCCCCCACATAAATAGAAGCAGGCCGCTGAGCGGGCGCATGCGCAGAGAGGAGACGCTCGCGTCCACCGTCGTGGCTGTTGCTCAGTTTTCCTCTTCTCCTTCCAACAGTCTGGAGTCCAGACAAGCCGGCGGAAGTGACGTCATGACCCGGCATGTTTCCTTGGAAACGGAGACGCTATCGGCTACTTTCCTCTGAGGGAGGGATCTGGGGTTTCCCGAGTAGCTTCCTACTCGCACCCGGAAACCGAGATGCGCTTGGGACTCTCAGAGGCAAGCGTCGGGATGTGCCCCGGACCAACCTCGCTATGGCGCCGGGTCCCGCCAGACATTGGCCTTCCGTTCCCGCCGCGAGGGAGTTGGGCTGTCAGCTGAGTATTCAGGAGTTCAGGAGAGAGGAAGGGGACGCTCCGCCCGCCCGCTGTGCCTGCGCGCCCTGTGCCCGGGCAGCCCGACTTATACCGGGAAGAACCGAGGTGGCCAGCGCCACCAGACCCCTGCCGGAAGCGCGGCGCTGTCTCCCACGCGTGTCCCCTCTAGACTCGTTCCCTTTCTCCTCGCTCGGCGAGGGGCACTGTGTAAAACTCAGTAAAGCTCTCCAGTTTGAAAATTGAACGAGCAAATATATTCATTTCTGTATTCATTCATAAGGCCCAAATTGTTGAAACAAATAGGATTCAAGCTAATTTAGGAGGGTTTGGTGTGGTTTAGTCGACGCACCCTCTGAAACTATGCCGAATGCTCCGTTTCAGGGCGGGGAGGAGAGGGGATTGGACACGCCTTCTTGACGCACTGGGAGAAACTAATTGGAATTCAGATTTTAAGGCGTGAGAATCGCTGGCCGTTAAAACTCATTCGGAAGAAAGTAAATTTGAGGGCTCGCCCTTCACATCCTCTAAGGAATCTAAGCCCTCCGTAAATTGTACTAACTGGATTAAGTATTGAGGATCCTGAGTGTGAAGGCAGATATTCTGAGTAGGTTTTTGTTTTTGTTCTTTTACTTTCTCATGTTGAACCAAGATGATGATGGAACCTATGATTCCAAAGGTCCCCCCTAGCTCGTGAAAGCTATCTTTTTTTTTTTTTTTTTTTTTTTTGGCACTGTGTTTACCTCCATTTTCTCCTTTCCCTCCACTCCTAATTGCCATTAGGGTCTCATTTTAGGACTGTCTTAACAGCACTTTTCGTGACCTTTCTGCTCTCAGACTTTTTACATTGGAGGAAAATGTCGCGAGGGACATATTAACGCTTCTAAAACACTTTTTTTATACCCTTTTCTGTCCTAGCTACAATGTACCTACAAAATAAATTCTATACCTATACTCAATATCCTTCACAATTTAGCCCAGGGATTGCAAACTGGTGGTCTTGGACCAAACCATTCTGCATTTGTGTAACTTATTCACCTAACATTATCTTCTGCTAACTATTAACCTACGGGGTGTTTTCCCAACTTTTGGAACCATATCCCACAAATTAGAAACAGATTTTACATTGTAACCCAGTGTATGCACCCATAGTACATACCTGAGATACAAGTGTCACAATAGTGGCCTTCCTGGGTGGGAATAAAAACAAAGAATACAATACTTAAAAATATATTACACAATGTAAATATAAAACAATATAAAATGTATAAATAATATTTATGGTTTATAAAATATATGATTATACAGAAGCAAGTTAGGAAAGATTTTAGTTAATGCAATGTTCATAGGTTTATTTCAGTCCAGAATGCATGTTGAGCACTGAACTTTCACTTTATTTTAAATGGCTCAAAATTGAAAATTCTAATTCACATACTTAAACAGTTATAAATTATAATAGTGTATACCTATGTTTTTCATAGTAATTGTTGTTTTTTAATCTTTATCTGACCTGATAAATTTCATGTATGGCAACCATTTTTCTGTGTAAATGAAGTATTAATCCACAACAGTTTATCCTCTTTATTCAATTATTTAAGTTTTTGAAAGTTAGATGAATCTTATATACATTTGTTTTTATGTGGTATTTCAAATTATCTTGTTTCTAATAGTTTCTTCCACTATTTTTTCATTTCTACCTTGTTTGCTGATAATTTTTGCTGTTCCTTCAGTTGAAATTCTATAAATAGTATAGCTTAATTTTTTTTACTTAAATGCTATTTTATGATTTTAAATATATCATTCTCTATGCAAAAATAATTCCTCTATGATATGGTCTTGCCATAAAAATTATGCATCTTGCAGTAGTAAGAGTTTCTAAATGTTCTGTGATATTACAATTGGTATTGTGACATCACCAAGAAGAATAGTTTTTCATTTATCAGTACCATATCCATCAGTGCTGGATGAAGAGGAGTTTGAGCTCTTACCATGAACCACTTTTCTTTTTTGCCACAATATTAGGCTACTAAATATGAAGATTGTCTTTCTTTTTGTGGAACAACTGAGAAATTATGCCAATAACTTTGCCTTTTCTAAGCACATATTTAGGAGTTTGTTGATAATTTCACTCTGCTATATCTTCAGATGTCATTTTAGTTTTGAAGGGAATATGTTTTCATTTTCAGGAAATGCACTTTTCCTTTTTGAATGAGCTGTAAAATCAATGTTTATGAATTAGAGTGAATGTTTTCTAAATATTTTCACTATTACAATTCTAGTTCCAGCAGCTGAAACTGAACACTTTTCTGGTTTTTTTTTTTTTTTTTTTTTTTTTTTGGTGTTTTTTTTTTGTTGTTGTTGTTGTTTGTTTGTTTGTTTATGCTTCTGTATTCCTTTTTCTCCTAATAACAAAACAACATCTTGCAGTTTATGCTAGTTTGTGTAATATATTATACTTGATACACATACCATACTGGTGACACCCATTTCCAAAAACATCAAGTTGGAAATTTTGGGTTTTCTACAAGCAAATAATACTCTCATGTACTTAATTTCATAAGTTACAGTGAGTTCTGATAATATAAAATTGGGATATACAATGCTGTCTGTCCAATAAATGAACCCAGGAAATTCCAGTGTATAGATTTTCCCTCCTTCCCTGACTCTTCTCTTTACAAATGATTGAATTATCCGAAGTCCCAGACAGGAATTAGTGTGGTGCATTCTGATATTTTCTATTAAATTCTGTTGTAGTCTATTTCAATTTTTTAAAGTACTGCTTGTGACCCTTAAAATTGATCTTACAATCCTCTAATTGGTAGATATGTACAATCCAATACTTAGACACTGAAGAAGTGAAGAAAAAGTAATTTTGATCTTAGAGACTAGGGGTAGATAGTGTCTACCTACCTATTTCCATGAGAATTTGGAAAATCCTAAATGATTTTATTAGGAGAGGGCCCTCAAGTAGGCTGAGAAGAGGTCATAGTCAATTCCAGGGCAAAATCAGAGTGTCTTTAATGTTATTTGTATACTGTAGATTCAGATTAGGCACTCTTGTTTTGGGAAGGGGGTACTTACAGAAATTACATAACATTACAAAAATTACACAAATGGTATGAGAGCAAGCTACTAAGCTTTTTATACCTTCTTGACAATGTTTTCATGAAGACCAGAATGTCTTGTGAACATCCAAAGGAAGAGAATCATAAAGAAAAGCAAGTGCAGAGCCTGTGGAAGGAGTGAGCTTGGAGAGTTGGAAGAAAGGCGAATGAGGAGGAACACAGAGAGCCAGGTGCTAGGAGGAGGAGAGAAAAATCTGAGTGGGAGGGAGCGAGGGGCCAGGTCATGGAGTAACATCAAAAGATTGATTTTTTTTTTAAATAAATAGAAGCCACTGGAAAATGTTAAGTAGAGAAGTGACATAATCTTAAAAGAAAAATACTTCAATAAAGTGGGAGCAATCAGCTATGAATGCCACTAAGAAATCTAGTAAATGAGGGCAAGGAGATGACTGCTGGGTTTGACAAAATGGACATTATTGATGACCCTAAGGAGCCAGCATGCACCCTCCCCACTTTTTTTATTTCAGAGAAAGAAGGTTGAATCATTGTTTATTCCAGGCCCTTTTAAATCTCTCTTTTTCCCTCTCTCTATGTGTGTGTACATGCAGGCAAAAGAAAGAACAATTTACCTCTTTTCAGTTTCTCACCTCCAGTACAAAAATTCTAAAAGTTTGTTGGACACAGTGGCACAGGCCTATAATCCCAGTCACTTGCAAGGCTGAGGCAGATGGATCAAAAGTTCGAGGCCAGCATCAGCAACTTAGTGAGACTTTGTCTCAAAATAAAAAAGAATAAAAATGGCTGGGATGTAACTCAGATTCAGTGCATCCAGTTTATAATT